TTAAGCCCCGAAATTGCAACCGTGCTTGCTTGCCACTCTCTCTCTCCTCGGTTACTCCTCTTAGAGGATTTTCCAATCCAGAGGGGAGGTATTAATAAACGGACTTCTCTTTCTCTCTCTCTCTCTGTATCCGTCCGTTCCGCCGCGCGCATTGTGCTAGAACGGCGAGAGGCGCCATATTTTATTGAGCATCTTCGATACGAGTTTTCCCGACGAGTTAAGAAAGCGACTTCCGATTGAATCGCCGAGTGCAGTCACTCACAGTTTAGGTCAGCCGGGTACGTCACGCGCTGACCTTTAACCGTAATAATATATTGAGTCCACTATACTCTTCGCTCGTCCCGCGAGACGACTTCAACCCCCTCCACCCCCGTCGCGCTCTCTTCCGCCTACATATATCCATGTACGTATTTGTCCATCCCGCGCGCCGCTTTCGGTCTTCTCCTTTCCTCCTCTTTTTCCCCTCTCTCCCCCTCTCTCTCTCCACGGGCTTTCTTTTACATTTATTTATTTCCTAAACGTCCGTCCCCACCGGCTACTTTATATTTGACATTTTTATTAAACCACCTAGAGCGGCCCCGTGTCCGCTCCGACGGAATCCCCGGGACTAGACGGACGGCGGGAAACGGCGGGTCCGGCGAGGGTGGGCTTGGAAGCGCGAGACAGGAGACGCGCGGGGGCGGATCTCTTCTCCCATATTGCTGTTAGAGCAATTTCGTAATCTCGGAAGGGTACGCTCCTTATATTGACCAAATAAAAAGTCGTGCCCCGTTGCTGATTCCACGACGGGAATATTATCGTTCCCATACGTGATTCACCTCGTGCTTCGAAGGGTTGCGACGATTGACCGTTCGCGACGACACGGAAAAACCGCTCGAAATCAGTTTGCCATTTTACGATTATGCTATCTCGGACGAAGAAAACCGCGCAGACGAGAATTGTCGCGCGGCGCGCCCGACGTGAGAGCGATTTTATCGGCGAGGAATCGAATTTCTCCAAGACCTCCTTCTCGTCGAGAAGTAAAACGATGACCGCTAGTTTCCAGTACCTAAATATGATCCGGTAAATACCGACGGTATACAAATAAAAGAAAGATTTTTATTATTAATGTTGTATCGCTTTTTTGCTACAGCAACGACATATTTCAAAAATCGTCATTTGAGTTGCTTGTAGAAGAAGAACAGAAACAAAAAGAAAATAAAAATATATATATATATAGTTTTAACGAATATACTTTTATTCCTCTTTAATCAGTTTTATCACATCAAAATTGAATTACAAAATTAATTACATAAAAAAATTTTTCATAATTCAAAGCATTATTTATTTTCTAGAAAATTTTGTTTCTCAAGTTGTGCCGCTGTTCTAGCAAATGAGCGATGTATATATTACCTATGTCTTATCGCGGCCTGGATACACTTCCTGTCTGACGCGGGCGCATGTTTATGACGAGAGATCGCTGCGTTTTAAAAAGATCTCTGAAAATTCTTAGGGAGATCCGCGAGAAGATATCGCCGCAGTAAAGGGTCTAATTTCCATAAGACCGGCAGTAGTAAAAGACGCCGTAAATTCGCGTTGAGAGCGAAATTCATCCTTTTGCAATTTCGTTTTATATAAGCGATCGAAGTATCGACATTGTCCTGACGACACCCGCGCCGCGAGATAATACAATACCCGAAACGTCCTCGCGTAGAGCCGGGCCGATCACTCGGAGTGACAGACAAATCGCAATATCCTTGACATTAGCGTTCGCGAAAAGAAAAATTACAGAGGCTCCACGTCTGATTTTCTTAGAGGATTTTTATACAAATTTCTAAATTCGCTTCGATATCGAAATCTAAAGAAACGCTCTCAGCTGTTCAATCTGACATCCAGATTTCTCCCGAGAATAATCTCCCGCAGAGGCGCAAAAGCACAAAAAAAGCAGTTTACATTTTTTTTTCTTTTCACACCGATTAATATTTCGACCGAATTTTATAGATGCGTTCTTCTATGTAAATTCGTTCGTTTTCGAACGAACGAGCCGGATGAACTTATGATTGCGACAGGCGAGTAATTTTAATCAACGTACGGCGGATGTGCGAATTCTCGCAGCAACAGGCTCGAAATTTTTCACCGACGCGAATGATTAATTTCCCTGATTTTTTTTTGTTTGGTATTTTCGGTACCTATGCACACCGAACTTTTAATTTGCTCGCGAGCATCGGCAATTTCAATATTCGCTATTTGCCAATGAAAAGGGTAAAGTAACATCCGTTTTTTTTTAATTGTATTTCTCGCGCAACCATCGCGATCAAATACGATGCCGTGCCGTTACGTTACAGCGTAACGCAAAATGCGGGAGAATAGACGGCACGAGTTTTTCCCAGTCTCGCGAATTCATCCATCGGGGGGCGGACTTCATTCATCGGCCTCGGGTTCATTCCAAGCAATCGGCTATCGATCGCGCAATTAGCATTACCGGAGGTTTTTTTTTCCCTCCCCCGAATCGGGGGAAAAAGGGCTTAAAAACCGTCATCGTTAGCCGCGTCTTTTCGCGGCGCGTCGCACGGTGAGCGCACTGTTTTTTTTTCCTTTTTTTAAATTCTATCGCGATGTCAATCGGACTAAGGGAGAGGAGAGTCATTAAAAAAAACTAGATCCAGAGAAAAACGAAGCGTACGGGTCGTTTGACGAATCACGAGGCGGCTCTTGGATATACCCGACGTGGGAGGCGCGCCGCGGGAGGAAACGAGGCGCGCAGGGACGGGGGAGGAGGGGAGGGGGAGGATGATGTTTTTTTCCTCGGCGGCGCCTCTTTAATTTGCCCTCCAATTAACGGACGGGGTCCTATTTGAAAAATACCTGCCACGAGGGCTGGCAATTATACTTCTTCCTTTTTTTTGCGTCACGAGCGCGTTATTAGCGCTATCCGTCCAGCCCCCTCCCCCCCCCCGCTACCTCCTCTCCGTTCCCTCGCATCCGTTCCTCCTCTCTTTCTCTCCTTCGTTTCTCGTTTGCTCTTTCCTTCCGTCCACCTCTCGCACCTCTCTCACCTATTTCCTCTCCACCTCTCTCACCCATTTTGTCTTACAATGCATGTGTGCGAGAGCGCGGAGGGAGGGGGCGCCCGAGTGGGCGAGCGTATCCGCGCGATTGTATGCGTTTTACGTGTATTGCGGAGCACGCGGGTGAAGTGATGCGGGATGGGGGATGGGGGAGAGGCGAAGGAAGGAAGAGAATGGGGCGAGATAACGAGATAGAGGAGGACAGGTGAGACGAAGGGAGACAGAGAGGTAGGAAGAGAGAGAAAAGGGGGTTGGTGGCGGGTGGTAGCGAGAGAGAAAATTGGAACCGGGAAGTGAGAGCGCGGGGTAGCGGTGCGGTATGGTGCGGTGGCTGCGGGTCGCGAGGAGCCAGGGAGGGAAGGAGTGGCGTTTATAACTCGTGCCCGGGTCTCCCGGCTTTGAGAAGGCCAATTAGCAGCATAAAGCTGCAGCTCGGCCCCGAGGCCGAGGATGTTTGTATGTAATAATGGATTGTTACTCAAAGTATCCGGCTAATTAATTAAGCCCCCGCCGCGCGTCCGCCCGCTCGTCGTCGTACCGAACGGCGCGCGGCGCGGCGTGGCGGTAGCGGCGGTGTGGCGGTGGCGGCAAAAGGGGCGAGAGAGTAAAGTGGGCTGCCGACCGCTACTCCCCCTGCCTCCCCCCTGCCCCACCGTACGTCACCCCCTCACCCGCCAAGTGTTACGCGGACCTCGGAAGAACGTAACTGCATTTTCGCGATCCTCGCGCGGACGCAACGACCTAAATCGGATGCGATCGCATTTTTAACTCGGCCACTCGGTGACGGCTGCGCGGCATAAATCGCGGGCAGTTCGCGATTTTCCTGTGATTGAAAAAGCGTCTCGGAAACAATCTAGCTTCGTGATTTACGAGAATTAAAAGACGCAATTAAAGTGTATATCGTCGACATGAGCTTGAAATACGAAATAGAACTTTGCGTCATTTTACACGAAACAACGAAACGCACGGAGTCACTTACTCATTGTTAACATTCCCGAATGGGGCGCGACGTTTAAAGTTTAAAGTAGCATGGTTTATAGTGCATCTCAGATAAGACGAAGCTTCCAGTTTCCCACTCGTGGCAACGTAACGCGGTCGAAATAATTGGCGCTGTAGAGAAATTTATTTTCGCCCGAAGAATACTCGCCCGGCGCGTCCGCTCCGCGGGACGGTTGAGAGACGGGCTTGCTTCGGATGTCGGCGGACGAAGAGAGGAAAGAGAGAAGGCAGAAGAGGATGAGAGAGAGAGAACGAAACGAAAAAGAGAAATGTGTTTTATGCACCGTGAAAGATTCCGGGAGGCCGCTCGTGACGCGGCGCGTCGGTGCTTATTGGAGTCTGGGCGCGCGAGGAGCGGGCGCAGGCACGGTTCCAATTAGCCGCGCTAATTATTGCGTGCTGTCAGCCACTTACGACGGTACGGAGACGCTCGTAACGGGCGGGATACGCCGCACCGTGCACGGCACGCCAAACGTCCGCGGGCGCAGTGTGTCGCACCCCCTCATCCCCTTCCCCTTAAAAAACAAACGCGCGGATGCAATACGACCCGTCTGAATACGCGTGGGGAAAGGTTCTCATTAACTCGGGGAAATCAAATTTCGAGGCGTTCCGAAATGACGGCGCTGCGCGTATAATTCTCTCGTCGCGCGCGGGCACAACTTTTTCTCTCAGTTCTCTGAACTCTTTTCTTTTTTTCTTCTCTCTCTCTCTCTCTCTCTCTCTCGGCTTGCTGAGAATTTTATCTCGCTCGTATATTTATCGAGCTCGGTGATTTTAGAGAAGTTCAGCGATTATTTTAAACTCTATCACAATGCCGATTGAGAGAAAAGATAGAAGAATTTCTTCTGCGTCGCTATACTTGGATGTAATTTGTTTCTATTTTAGCAACAGGATATAATTGTAGCGATTTGATTTGTTTTTGATGTTCCAGACGGCGCCGTAGTTGAGATCACGATGACTATGGACGTGAGCAAATCCGAGACGAATAAAAATGGTTCGACGCAGCAGGAGTGCGCCGGCTGCGGGAAGACAATTACGGAGAGGTAAACGACGACACACGTATATACAATAATGCGTTCTGTACAATCTGTATTGTTGTTGAAAAACATCTCGTTCGTCGCTCTCGCTTTTTTTTTACTAATAAATCCTGTTATCTATTCAATATTTTGTCGCAAGGACACAGATATCGATCTCCGATCTTTAAAGCGGGATCCTCTTTCGTCCCGCTTAAAATATTCAGTCAATGCCGCGGCGTAAATTGTGTATTAATAAAAATATCAAGATAAAAGAGGTATTTCCAAGACTTAACGGCCGGTAAGAACGAAAACTACGGTCGGTCCTTCAGGTACCTCCTCAAGGCCCTGGACCTCTACTGGCACGAGGACTGCCTCAAGTGCGGATGCTGCGACTGTAGGTTAGGCGAGGTCGGCTCTACCCTCTACACCAAAGCTAATCTTATCCTCTGTAAGAGGGACTACCTCAGGCTCTTCGGGAACACGGGATGCTGCGCGGCGTGTAATAAGCAAATACCGGCGTTCGAGATGGTCATGAGGGCCAGAACGAACGTCTATCATCTCGACTGTTTCGCCTGCCAGCAGTGCACTCATCGGTGAGTGCGAACGACAGTATATTACCCTTATTATTTAGATCCCGACTCTCTTAACCGAGACGCTAGATTTATCTTTATTATTAGCTCCCGACGTCTTTTTTTTTTTAGCGAAACTCTCTCATCGTCTATTCTTTATGTCTCTTCCTCAGTCTAAAGCGTAAATTTACAATCTTATTTTGAGTTTAGAAAATGTAAAAAGAGATACAGCGCTATTTCGGAAATACACATGGAAACTGCAAAATCCGCAGAATTATTTAGAAATCCGCGCGATTTGATTTTTATTAAACGACGGAATTTCGAAAATAGAAACGAAACTCGTTGGGGGGGGTTCGTCAATTATTAAAAATTACCGCGCGGCGTAAACACGGGACACAGCCGGCGGAAGACTCGATTCGGCGAATTTCGCTACCTCGTCCCTCTTTCTTGCCCCTCAAACCCACCATCCTCCTTTATTTTCCGCTCGTTCACTTTCATGGCGATGCATCTTTCGCGTCGCGTGGACATACGGGTGAAGACGAAGTACGGCCAACATAGAAGAGACTAGCAGTCCGCGAGACAGACTCGATGGGAAGGGAGGGGTTAACAGGGATAGGTTGCTTTACAGGTCAGTTGGGAAATCACCCTGCGCTTTTCCGCGCCATGACCTGTCCTTTCTCTCGCGCTGCCGGTACTCCGGACCGGCTTTTGTGAAATCTCGCGGCATATCCTCGCGCATCCCCCCACGACTCTCGGTTCTCCCCTGCCAAAATGCGCGAGAGATATGCCATCTATTTCCTTATTGAACTATCATTTATTAATTTTGTTATCAGAGTTCTTCTCAAAAGTCTGATTTATAAATACATGTTTATTATGGTTAAAAGATTGAAAACTCTTATTGTTAGTAGCAAAAGAAATCAAGATTCTAAACAAATAATTAATTTTTCGTCGCCACCTCGTTGTTTTACGTGAATTAATATGGAAGTAGTAAATTTGAACGGTACGCGACATATTTTTATTTCATTTGTTGACAGCTTTGGAAGGAGAGAGGGAGAGAATAATCTTAACGCAAACAAACCATCAACAAGATTAATTAATAACTTGTCAAAAACTGTTTATAAAATAGATGTAAATAAAAGATGTAATTTTATTTCAATTGATAATAATTGTTATTCTTAACGAAATAATTATAAAATTAATCTAAAAGTTTACAAAATAGAAACTGAAAGTTTCAAAATTATTATATTATATTTATTATTTATTATACAGTTATAGAGTGTCTTGCCTACAATTTTAAAACTTTGTCAATATATTCGTCATCGATTGACCTCTTTAATCTTGAGGCGCAGTTTGAGACTTTTTGCAATCAATGAGTTATTACGAACTGAACGATGAACTCTGATGGGAGATTAAGCATAGATCCAAATTTTAATAGGTTTTGAATTTTGCCTTTATAAGTTTCTTCTGTATCCTAATACAAATTTATAAGTTTCATAAGTTTCTCGGCAATATAAAGGGCTTGCTCAGGGCGAGGATAAACGCCCTTCTCTCTCTCTCTTTTCATATCTCACCCTTGTCTCATCTACTTTGTCTTTCAAGAGAGACCATTGCAGTTACTTATGCAATATCCGAATATCGAGTGTTTTAACGTTCGATCGAGGTCATCTTCGCGAGCGGAACACTGATATTCACTCCTTCTAATTGTAAGATCTCACCGCTCCGCGCAACATCGAGCGGAATCAATTATAACGAATAAGATCAACCGTCGCGGATTTATCTATCAAACTCGTGTTCTTATCACTCGTTACTCTTTTCCCCTCCGATTGTTTTAATTATCTCCGGGCCACGGTAGGACGTTTAGACAATATGTGGCAACGACGAGGCGGCGGAGACCTGTCGCGATTCAATGGCGGGAAGCGTACAAACGAGTGCACAAAAGCCAGTGGAGCGATACAATACTGGCTTACGGACGGAGAGACTCGTTTTGGGGGAAGGTAACAACGACCAGGAGAGAACGAATAGAGCGGAGAGAGAGAGAGAGAGAGAGAGAGAGAGAGAGAGAGAGAGAGAGAGAGAGAAACACGGTGAGAGAGAACAGAGGAGAAGGGGAAGAGAGGAAGAGAGAGAGTGAGAGAGAGAGGGAAGGGTGGAGGGGAGAGAGAGTAACTGTAGCCGCTCTGTCGGTAGAGAATAGCGACAGAAACAGGGAGAGAGGACAGGGGATATGATAGAGGAGCCGGAGGTGGAGGATGTAGTTTCAAGCCAATAGCAACGGCTCGTCCAAGCGTGTGGCAAACGTTGCGCAGCGTCTCAAACAATGTGAACAAAAGAGCATCAATTTTACGTTTTTATCGTCCGGCATTGTCTATCTTCGACAATGCCCTCGCTCGCGCGCGCGACTCGCGACGGAATTGCCTGGTAAGGGGGTAAGGGGAGGCTTGTGGCGCACACGTCAGGATCAAAAACGAATCCGTATATACAGAGGGGGATGACCATTGGGGGTTCCTTTGGAAAGAATCGCGCGGACGCGTGACGTTTGCAGACGCGAGTATAGGAGCTGGCCCCGACGTTGGTCGCGAAATGGGGGAGGGGGGAGGAGGGAATAGGGGAGAAAAAGCCGAAGGGATCGCGAAGAAGTAAATTGAGACGGCCGCGCTCACACGGTCCGGTCATTATATTTGTTGTAACAATCGCGTTGCGTGTTGCGCGGATGATGTACGAGCGCAATTAAAACGCGCGCGAGCGAGCGAACGAGCGATAAAATATGCCTGATGCGGAATATTCGGTGCGACCCCCGGCGATGTATGGTGCTCGCGCGCGATCGTGCGCCCGCTAAAAAGCAGGCAGGTAGGTAGGTAAATTTGAAGAGGGCAATTACTCGCAGCGCAGCGCGTCCTGTAACGAGACGACTTAGAGTTTGCAATTAAACAGCAACAATTACACGGGGTAACTTTAGACTGTAATAACACAGAATAAAGGGTTGCCAGTGGCTGCGACTAGGCTCCCACCCTCCTGGTTAGAGGATGATTTACCGATGCAATTAGCTCTCTCTCTCCTCCCCCCGCTCTCTCTCTTTCTCTCTCTCACACACACACACACACGCACACACACACGTGTGCATCAGCGCAAGCGCGAGCATCGCGTATCCACTTCGCCCCTCCTGATTTCTTTGCTTCCGTCGAATCCGGTCAAACATAATGACTACTCGATTAAACTTTCGCCCCTTGGATTTGATATCTGGCTGGAGCAAGATAGACTCTCTCTCTCTCTCTCTCTCTCTCTCTCTCTCTCTCTCTCTCTCTCAGCGAAATTACACACAAACGATGTAGAATTTCTCGTTTGCTGATAATTGCTGTTTGCGATCTAAATTGTAGCACAAAGTATTTTGGTATTTTTTATTATTTTTGAAAATGTATTAATTGGTGCATTATACGTAATGATTATGTTTTGCATTATTGCACGTGCTTTTTCATCATATTTGATAAGATCGCGGCGCGGTCTTATCAAATCTTATCTGTTTCGAAGACGTCCGGATTGCGTTTCGCGTGTGCGCGCTTTCGGCTCGACGCTCGCGACCCGCAATTTCCGCGATTCACGCCGCGGTGCGTCGAATAAAGATTTTATCTGAGAAACTGGCGAGAGACGCGCACGGTGGGGCCGCTGAAACTTTGATGCGCCGATACTCGGCGCGCAGAGGACGGGTATTACTCTTTGAGGGCTATGGGCCACGTCGTCGGAACGGCCCGTAAAGTGCCTCTCTAACGGGGTCACGCATTGCCACCGGTGGTATCATTTATTGAATCGCAGTGTCGCCTCGCCGCCTTTGCGCCTTTCCGCCGCATCGACCGAACATCGTCGTCGTCTTCGCGCGCGCTTTTCCTTCGCCACCTCGTGTCGGCCTCTCACCACGCTCTCTCCCCACCCTCCATTGTCCTGCAGCCGGGCTACCCTCGTTAAAGATTCAACCGAGTTATCTGAGCGCCGTCCAGATTGAAATTTTCCATGCAGACCCGAGAGTCGTCCTCTCTCGCGCGACTTTACCATCCCTCCCATTTCCTCCTTCCCTCGTAAACTACCCTCGGCGCGGACGGTTCGCCAACTCGACGTCGCATCACATTCGTGATGCGAGATCGATTTAAGGCTGCCGCAATCATCACGATCAGTAGCGAGAATGATTCTCAATTCCCGCTGGAGCTCTTTCACCATCGTGAAATTGTGCGAAACGGACTTGTAATTGGCTCGTAGACGCAGGCTCGGTCTTATCGGCGAATAGATGCGACGTATCTTTCGACCAACACGCGATTCTTTCCCTGGTCTTTCAAAGGATGAAGAAATTGCAACGCGTCGCGGGCTCCCGGGTGCCGTGAAATGTGTCAAAACGGCCATAAACAACGTGATGTATCCCGCGTTGCGCGGGGAGGAGGGGAAGAGGACGAGATACACGCGTGCGACGAGACGCGATAGGAGGGCGAGCACGTAATAAAAAGAAAATTGAATGGAAACACTTACGGAATTGCGCCAATTACGTAGGTGCGGGCGTGCTAGATGCGCTCGTGCTGTAATAAAGCGTTCGCACGGCGGCGGCGGCGGCGGCGAATTTGTTCTCATTGCGATGAACGCAGAGCGAGAGATAAATCAAGTTTTAAACGTTTATGACTTGGCTCGCGCGAGCGTTACGCGATGAGGCTCCGATACGATGGAAATTAAAACTTTGTAAAAAAGAGCTTTGCCCCCGGCCGCGATTTTAATATTTCGCTGGCGATGATCGTGAATAAAAATATTTCCTTATTCCATGTAGAACGTGAATGCTTGCGATACGTTTCTGCGTCATCTGATAACTTTTAGACTTAAAAGGGAATTAAGATCCCCTGCAACTCGGAAATTTAAAGTTATCTCTTCTTGTTAACTATATAATATATAATTTCTGTTAGATTTTCTCTCCGTGACTAGATAAACGTCAAAAAATATTAGAAAATATTTTTGGAATTCCGATGATTTCAAAATTACTCTATTCTGTTTTACTTTCTAATTATTAATTAATTGTAAAAAATATGAATATAAGGCACACCTAGGATGTATCATAATTAATGTTATATCGGCACGTTACGTGTGTCAGTTTTAATTTTTAATCACTTTATCCAGTCGATCAGTCCCAAATTAAATAGAATAGTCCGCACACGTCCTTCTGACGTTCCTTGACGTCGCGCTGATTTCGGGCCGGCCGCGACGTATCGCACGGTGTAAAAATGCCACGGGGGAGGGTGGGACTAGGTGGAAAATTACGGGGCGGCGTGCGCGCTGATATCGTTCCGCGGCAGACATTTGCGCCGTTTTCGCGAGAAAGGTTCGGGCTTTGCGCGGCATTATTCGCGCGCGCATAATGGAAGGCTGCCGGGAATGACTGCGCTCGTGCAACGCGATAATTCCATTGCCCGCGCAATTACGACCCAGTATCTGCCTCTAGCCAGACGGCCGAAAAAGGTATTCCAGAGCGTTACAAGGATTATTTTCGTTTAAACCGTCGAGAGTACTGCCCCGTGGGAGCTCGGATATTAATTCTTTTTCCCTCCCTCCGCTCTCCCCTCTCCACGTCTCTTCTTTTCGCTCCCGCGCTCGAACCGTGTCCCGAGATTAATGGGAAATGACTAATGGTGAAATACAAACACGCTACCGTCGATTATATCGCCGCACGTATGATGAAACGCAGTAGGAATATCGATTACGATAACGACAAGCATTATTTCGACTAATTCGCTTAATTTGCGTTTATCGTAATTTTGCGCGTCATTTTATTTCTGATATATCGCGATTTCATATAGGCAAAACGTTATAATTATCCCTCATGAGGAATCTCGACTACAGAATATCGGCTAATTCTTCGTTTATTGCTATTGCTGTTTGATAAAACAAATAGCATTAAAAAGTAATTCATATTCTTCTCATTGTCAGAAAAAAGCCTGACGCGCTAAAAAAAATAAGCGTTTATTATTTTCTTAAGATAAATAAAATAAATTTTACACGCTATTCTTATTTTGTCAAACAGCAATGTATTTTTCGCGCAGTTAATCAGTGCAAAATAATTAGGTAAATCCGGATTAAAAGTCTAGTAGAGCGCTCAGTAGATATATTGAGGAAACGAGAGAAAGAGAGAGAGAGAGAGAGAGAGAAAGGAGGATGGTTGCGCGGGAGGGTGAGGGGGCGAGAGAAAAGCGAGAGGGATAGGTATCCGATTGGAGTGTGGCGTCATTTAGCAGACGACGCGTATAATGGGGGAAACGAGCGAAACCCGGTATAACCCGCGCGCTTGCTGGCAGCACGGCCACGCGCTCAGGCAACGCGATAATTCTATTTGCCGTGCGATTATGAGAGTATCTACCCCGTGCCAGACCCCGACGCGGGCGGTGCGGTGCGGCGCGGCGCAGAGAGAGCGGCGCGGTGCGGCGCCATGCCGCGCCGTGTGCCGCCGTGTGCTCTCGTATTTCGCTCTCGTATTTCCTAGCCGGGGGATCAAAGCGGATGCGAGGCCGTTCGCGCGGACAGAGGCCCCGGTAATAATTATTTGTTCGATGCGCGCGTTACGATATGCTCGTTATCCAGCGGAACTCCTTTTTCGTGCCCTCCCTCCCCCCCTCCGTTCCCCCTCGCCGCTCTTCCGTCCTCGCCGGTTTTTTCTTTCCCTCTCCTCCCCTCCTCTCTTCCGCGCGCGATCGATCGATCGGATTTGGAATAACGAACCGACGCGCCAAGTCGACCGGGGGGCACACACGAGCCCCCTCATTTGTTAATCACGTTCCCTTCGAGTCTTCTTCTCCGGTGCCTGCAGATGCGAAATCTCACGGACGGTGAACGACCGACGAGTAATTGGCGCACGCGTTCTTTTTACATTTCCAACGACGGACGTCAAGGATTAATTTCCCTTTTTCCGCGAATGTCTTTAATTTGAAGAGGTGTAATTATAATTATCGGTGCAGCAAGAGAGAAATGAAACTCTCCGGGAACTCTCGGGAAATATCGGGGGCGAATCGGGACGCGGGCTGCTGCACGTTCCGTTCCGACGACCCACACAGCGTGTTTTCTTCTTTCTACTTGCAGGTTTTGCGTAGGCGATCGGTTTTACTTGTGCGAGAACAAGATTCTCTGCGAGTACGACTACGAGGAGAGGCTAGCGTTTGCTAACATGGCGTTACAGTCACCCGCCTCATTAGCATACATCAAAAGGCAACTCCCTCCTACACCGACGCCCCCGGGCCAGAACATGCACCCGGGACACAACCCGCTCCAGGCTCATCAAGGTCTGGGGCAGTCGGTGGCCCAGCACAATCACGTGCCCAATGTAAGTGCCAACAAACTACCCGAATGAATCCGGTCGATAGAGCAAACTTGGAAATAAATCCGCAGTGCGAGCGTAAATGAAAATTAATAAAAAGTTGTACGATAACAGAGCAAATTAAATTATAATATCTCTCTATATATTTTTTTTTTACTTTTTTTATTGCCATAGTGGGTGTTAAATATATTTAATAATTATAATATATAATTATTTATTAAAGTGATATAATCTTTTCGTGCACTTTTCCTTTGTAAATTGTAGCAATTGAGGCTCGCGATGATCGCTGTCGTGAGAGACGTCTCACGTCCCGCGAACCTTTTATGACTTCAGGGTCAAATGTCAGGCGGCACGCCGACGATGAACGGGACGACCATAGGGGTCGGCGGGCCGAGGGCGCCGGGTGATATGAACAACAACGGTCTGTCCGGGCCCGCCCTCGGGCCCGTGAAGCCGCCTCCGATGTCCATGCAGGCGCCGACCAGCTGAAACGAGGCCTCGCCGCCTCTGAAGAAGCTCAGATGTCTCAGCGGTTACTAAAGCCAACGGGAGTTTCCCTTTGCGAAATGTAATCTGTGGATTCCGTGGGCAACGGGAGAGAGGGAGAAAGGTATTCGTTGCACCGCTGAAAACGACGGAATGGACGAAAGAAAAGGGTCGACGAGCCAATAGAGAGATGTGGACAGGGAGGGAGGGAGGGAGGGAGAAAGGGGAAGAAACGTCAAACGCGCGAGGAATCGGACGAACTCCAAAGTGGAAACCTCCGAGACTTCGTGGACAAAGTGTGACGGGTCTTGGAGATTGGAATCACTGTGATCGTGGAAAATGAACACACACAAATTTAAAATAATGTTAATATACAGTGTAGGACACACGCGCATGGCGCGAGCTCTGGAGCTCGACACACCGTATTTACCGCAGGCATACGCAGGTACAGAATATTAATACACGAGCGCATACACACACGCACACACACACACACACACACACACACACACACACACACACACACACACACACACACACACACACACACACACACACACACACACACACACACACACACACACACACACACACACACACACATACACACTCCTTCCGAGCAACGCAAACGTTTAAATGACGTCGTAAAATTTCCCCGGACGTCTTTCAGGCGTCTCTCAGACTTTTGCGTTGTTTGCCGATGCACGTTGCGCGTCTTGTAAGATACGACATGACACGACACACACACGGCCGACACACGTAAGGATAAATTAGATAATTCGTGTAAGATATATTTCTCTAGCGAAAGAGAGACGGGAGCGAATGTGCGATTCTGCGCGAGTGCGAAAGTTGCGTGTGTGCGAGTCGCGGCGGAGTCGCCCTGTAAATATATATATCTGTGTCGTATTCGACTCCGCGAGAGTGTGAGAGAGGACGAAACAATTACCACAGTATACGCACGCCCACCGAGATGACTCTTGTCCCGCTCGTGATAACCGCCGTCGTCCACGCGTAAGGACGCAGGAGGAGCGCCGGATTCGAAAGGAGGAGAGGGACCGAAAGCGGCGAGCGAAAGGGGGGGGGAGGAGACGCGAGGGGTTCTGTAACACGTGCCATATAGTCCCGCGATCTCCCGCTTTACAGCCGGCCGAAAGAGCGGACAGCCACGAAAGGAAGCAAGACGACGGTCATCTTATACTTCGGAATTGGAAAATCGGGAAGGGTAGTATCCCTAAATATCTTCGTGATACTCATTTCAAAAATTAATACTAAATTTCCCTGGTCGTCCGGTAGCACCGGAGGTCGATTTTCTTCCTCGTGGCCCTTCTAGTCTCGCGAAGTTTCTGTTATGTGTTACAATCGTGAGAGTCGGATCACTCGCGATCGTGACAGCCGATACCAAAGATTAATTAAAGACATTAGGTTAAGAACCCCTCGGAGGCGAGCGCCGCGGAGAGATTCAATTTCAGACAGCCCCCGACGCGTCACGGGGCGAATTATTTTTTTTTTCGTAAGCTTCAGCTTGCTCGACGGCGAGAGGAGCAGCGGCGGATTATCGCTTGGGGTCCCGCGAAACGTTAAGGCATATTATTCCGCTAATTGTTCGTCATTGACAATACTATCTTAATTCACACACGATTTTAAATTCTCGTTGACGATAGCAAAGTAGAGGAGACTCAAAGTGGTTTACGGTGGGCGAGGGAAAGGAGGGGGGGGGGGAAGGTCTTTTAAGTATTCCATAATCCGCCGCTGTCCGAGGGTCGCGAGTTCCGCATCGGAGCCAGAGCGAGGGGCTTAGTCACTTAGCTTTAACGCTTTAATGCCAAAAATACAGGCGGCGCTTATCTATACCAAACGCCAAAAGGCCATACATTCGTAATCATATACAGAGACCAGAAAGGAGACCGGCGGAAACGCTGTCTCTCTCTTTCTCTCTCTATCTCTCTTTCTCTCACTTTCTGCCGCCGCGTTTGCCGCCGCGGCATTATTAACTGCGAGCTCGTAACGCTATTAACTGTGAGCAATTTCCCGCGACGCCGGAAATACCGGTCCGTCTCATTCCCGCGTTTACATCCGGGCTTTCTCTCGTTCGCGGCCGGTTGCGCTTGAAAATAGTAACTGTAATGCGCTACTCTTCCGTGTCGCAGCCGGTAACACGGCGACACTTTTTTTCTCATTTCACGGATACTACTATATATGATTTAATAATCCGTATTACAAGTCTTAATTTTTTTTACGTTAAACTGCGTCGGAAATTATTATTACAGTTATTATTTAAAAGGTTAAAAGTTGATAATTAAAGTTGCTCTCTGAATTCGAACGAAGCGATAAAATCGACACTCGTCGATTTAACGGAAAGCGCGCGAAATCTGAGAGAAAGTGCGCGTGACGGGAAATTAGTTTACATCGAACACTTGTAAATTATCCGAGGAACAACGGATCGAAACCCGACGACTGTCGCACCGCGTTAGTACAAAGGTCCTGCGACACCGGCGGAGGGGGAACAGATCGGAGGACGACAGAGGGAAGCAGGCACGGGGCGAAGAGGACACTGTCTCCCTATGTAGGACAGAGAGAAGAGGACACAGGGGACGACACTTTCATTTTTTATTCATCTGTATATAATATCACTTTACCTAGGGCTCTATTAATAATATTAACGACTCTGCCTATACCCCACCCCGCGAAGGGGGAGGGGGAGGCAGCGCTCCCATTACTACCGAGAAAATATAACATTCTTATAAATACAACCTGGTGTATTCCAAGAGAGTTTTTCATTTCCAGTCGCGAGAGGGGATCTGCGACTTCAACACCCGGCAGATCCCAATATACGCGCGTTCCGCGCCCGGGACGTCGTCATTCTTCAACCTTCGCCATCACGTTCTCCTCCGTTTCCAGCTCTCCTTCGTCCCTCTCCCCTATCCGACAATCTGCCTTTTTGCCACGAGGAGTCGGAAATCGAGGTAAGTCTCCGCGGCGCATGGAAGCTCACCCGATCCGATCTGGGAGTCCCGTTCAACGCGTGAATACACGCAGCGTGGAGGGAAAACGCGGAGGGGCGGAGAGGGGAGAGACAGTGGCCGGGCTCTCCTCGCGTGGCGCCGAGCTAATACGAGAAGGGTGGAAACGTGATTTCCCTAATGCCCGCCAGCCCGCGGAGCCGAATGTTATTATGCGCGGTGAAGACTTTATAATGGGACGTGGAACTCCTTAAAACTCGCGCGGATACGCGCGCCTCCTCGAAAACGCGCCGGGCGGAGTCCGTTTACGGGGGCGCGGAAGCGAGTCTATAACTGAAAACTTATGCCGCCGCGATTGCGTTACGAGGTCGTTTCGCCCGATTGGGGCTGTTTCATTTTTAGAATTGCTCGTCGAGTGGACCCGCAATCGGTCGCGTCACGCCGTTACATCCGTTACGCGTTCGCGGTAAAAAAAACTGTCCCCCGGTTTAAATAAAATGCATTGCAATTAACTGTTCGGTCAAAGCTTATGACAACGCAAACATCACGAAGTCATTTTGTTTGATGGATTTTACTAGTTTCGCGAAGAGAAAAAAAGCGTGCGTGCATGTGTGTGTGTGTGTGTGTGTATGTATGTGTGTAATTACATTGGGCACGTAACGTTATTGATTTTTTCCCAGTTGAAAATCACACTTTCGGGTTAATAAACTTCACGTCGTAATAAATTACGCGATGCAGTTCGAAGATAGCGCGTTAGAAGAGACCCAGTTGACTTTAATTAATTTTTCTGGGAACGGCCCAGAGAGAGAGAGAGAGAGAAAGAGAGAAAAATTGTTTTAATTCGTACTCCATGCTATTCATCGGCCGAAGATGCTATCAAAAATAATATCCATCTTTAATGCGTTCGGGCCGGAAGGGGTTAACAATCTCGGCCCGCTTCCGGTGCGTGCACGGGCGAATTAATCCGACGTCGCGCGAGTAGCCGCGACTCGTCATCTCGACCCTCGAGGAGCCGACCACCAGCACCACTACAGCCCTAACAGCACCACCACCATCACCGTCGTCAGCGTCCAGAGTCGCATTAATCACAGTCGAAGGCAGACAGGAGGGGTGGCCGGGACGCGAGCGGCGGGGGCCAAGGGCGGGTGCGAGAGACTAGGAACGAAAGGGAGAACGGAACCCCTTAAAATAATCTGGCCCGAAATGAAATCAGCCAAGGCAATTTCCAACCCCCTCCCGCCTCTCCGTATCCGACGGTGATGTTAACAGCGCGGTTTTATCCGCCTGGACCGGCGGGCCCGCGTCCTTTCCCTTTCTACCCCCTCCTACCCCCCCTCGTCCATCCCCCGATTCCGTGGCGGTGCAACCGACAAATGACGACGCGGCGGCAACCCCCCTCGCGGCGACTCACGGAATTAAAGATCACGAGATAAGGGTGTCATCCTTCGCTATGCATTATATGTTCGGCAAAAAGCTCGCCCCCGGGCCATCCCGCCGTTCCGTCGCCCTTGCCTCCTCTCTCTTTCTCCTCATCTCTCTTTTCGCTGCTTGCCTCCTAACACGCGTTTGTTTTGGGTGCGAGAGAGAGAGGGAAAAAAGAGGATGGAAGGCTCCAATTAATCTACTTCGTTCATTTTTTGCCTGTTCAAGGAAGCCATCTCCGCTGGCGTTTCTCTCGTATCGACATTCTTCTGCTAGAAACGCGCCCGTCGTTTCGGGCACACTGTAGATATAATGAAGAGAAAGACGTCGAGTGTCTCGCGAGTTTGTAAAGATTTCCTCGGGAACGATTGCAACGGGATGTGCGCGAGGATGCACGTCGGCCGGTTATGATCCGCACATCCTCTCTCGGGCCGGGCGAACGAGATCCTGGCCGCGACCGGCAGTCGTATTTCAAGTTTTATCGCCTTGAAACCATTAAGAGGCTAACATCGAACTCCCTGGAGACTAACTTCTGAGGCGAATCCATCGAATCGAAGTTCGAAGGCGCATTGTCGAGGTAACGCGATAATTTGCGAAACTGAATGTCCCGGAGTTTATTAG